TAAACCCCCAGATCTTCTTCATAACAACTGCTATCTATCCATGCTTCCACCATCTTAAACCTGTAAAGCCAAATTTTGTATCCAAGTGCAAGACTTTATCCCTATCCTATTGAACTTCATCTTATTTGATTCAGCCCAATACTTTAGCCATCAAGTTCCTTTCGGATACTGTCAATCAGGGTCTTAGCTGTTCCTCCCAGCTTTGGGTCTTCTGCGGAGTTGATAAGCATAGTCTCTATGCCTTCATCCAGTTCACTGATAAAAATGTTAAAAACACAGGGTAAAGCACAGGTCACTAGGGTACTCCACTGGAGACCTCTCTCCATGCTCCCATTGAACCATTGCCAACTGCAGTCTAAATTCAGCCATCCAACCAGTTCTTAAGCCATCTGACTAAATTATCATCTAATTCATCTCTCTGTTTTTTTCTACAAGAATAGTATGATATATTATATCAGAAGTTTTGCTAAGATGGAGGTGAATTATAGCCACAGAATTCCTACCACTTACTAGTACATTAATCAATCCTGTCAAAAAGAGAAAACAAAGTCAATTTTGGCATAATCTGTTCTTGATGAAGAATAGCTCATTTTCACTTTGGTAAAGCATTCTCTTTCACATTTCTTAGTTTCCTTACTCCTCCTTCCTCTAGTCATCAGAGCCTTCTCCTCTTGTGTTGGTCCTTGCTATTCATCATAATATTTTCATAATTATTAATCGATCAACAAGCATTTATTAAGTACCTACTATACAACAGACACAGTGCTAGATGCTGGTGATACACAAACAAAAATGAGACAGTCCCTGCTTCAAGGGGCTTACATTCTACTTGGGGCAGACATGTACAAAAGTAAGTATATCCAAAATAAATACAAGGTATAGTTTTGGTGGAGTAGAAGTTTGTACTAGATACTCTGGGAATCAGGAAAGGCTTATGTTACTGATAACACAATAATAAAATGTAACAAGCTGATTTTACTTTAAATGCTACTTTCTGCTCTCTCCCTCCTTGATGCTTTCCCCCTTCTCCAACCTTTCTTCAACACACACCTTCCCTACACCTGCCCAAAGTGGAAACCACAGGAGCTCATTATGATGCGTTATGTCCAGGTACAGGGAGAATGCTAGCTTTATTAGTGTTGCCTATTATGGTGGGACAGATATACTGTATATGAATATGAAACAGGATAAAAATAATAGCATTCTATGTTGCTATAAAATTTGTAAAGCACTTTCCACATATTACCTTATTTGATCCCTATAACTGTCATGTAATGTAGATGCTATTATTATCTGCATTTTACAGATGAGAAAATCGAGGCAGACAAAGACTTACCCAGGTTCACATAGCTACTAGTGTGTGAGGCTGGGTTTGAACTCAGGCCTTCCTGAATTCTCTTTGCTATTCAAGCTATACTAGTAACTGGTACACTCAGAATTCACAAACCCAGGTGTTGTCATCACAAATCCGATGTGTTTTCTACCACACTGAGTTGTTGTTCACGGAAAGATTCAGTCAGTCTGAGAAATAATGGCATTTGTTTCACTTTGAAGCAATAGGTCTTGAGTTAACCCATTAAAAACTCGCATGGTATAAGCTCAACAGAGCCCTCAATGATATTTGGCAATCTTGCTATTCAGCACACCAAGCCCTATGTTATTCCTCACAGCTACTGCTCTTAACCCCAGGGTTGTTATGAGGTTCAAAGGAGATACTATTTGTAGAGCCCTTAACACAGTGCCTGGAACATGGCAGGTGCTTAACAAATGCTTGCATCCTTTCTTCCAAACCTTTGTCTCTCTCCTTCAGCCCCCAGTCTCATTCTCTCCTTGAGCTTAATAGCTGATGACCTCACTTCCTACTTAGTAGAGATAACCAAAGCCTTGCAACTGTAAACTGTCTTAAGTCCTTTATCTTATGATCCAAAATTTAGGTTGCATCACCCACTTACTATTCCTTAGATAGGCAGCACAGTGCCCAGTATCTGAAGTCAGAAGACTTGAGTTTGAATCCTAACATTGCCACTGACCACCTCTATAACATTAGACAAATCACAACCTCCATACCTATTTCTGGGGTCCCTTCACACTAATTTCTTGCATGTAGCTCTGAACAATTTTGTTTATTGAGGTGGCATAACATAACAGGGACCCCAGATGAGCACTAAGATATCATCTGAGTTACACTGAAATCAGGAAAGCCAACAGACTTTCTGGTATGTTCTGTATGCCAACACACACCTAATTAGATACATACTTAGCTACAAAGCACTAAATCTGACACAACCAAATCCATACCAGTTCTGGAATAGAGATTAGTTCTGGGTTAAATCTAACCTTGATTTATAATATGCTTGAAAGACCTTTTATGTCCTTCTGAAAGGGATTAGAAACTAAAGGAATGCCCAAAATTGATCTCATTTCCTAGGGGCTCTCTGTATCGAAAGGATAAATGCACCTGGGCAGAACTGAGCCTTAGTTTACTCATCTGTGAAATGGATATAGTAGTACTTATATTACCTACTGAACAGGGTTCTTGTAAGAATCACAGAATGTTAGGACTAGAAGATACCTTGAAGATCATCTCATCTAACCCTCTCATCTTACATCTTACAAATTGAAGGTTTAATAAAGATAAATTACTTACTTGCCCAAGTTCATATGATTAGCAAATAGCAAAGCTAGAACCTAAATCTTCTGTATGTGAAACACTTTGTAAATGGGAAGTACTATATAGAAAGTGAAGGTTTTGTTGGTATTATCTCAGTGGGCCCCTTGGGGTAACAAGATAACAAATATTTATTGAGTGTGAACTCTGGACAAAGTACCATACTGGGTGAGCAAGAGAAATGGTCTTGAAAGATCTGACAGGTGCTAATCAGGGACATCTAAAGGTCTAATGGTTCAGAGATTTTCATGGGGCTAGGAACATGCCAATCCCATGTAGTATCTAGTATACCCAAATGTCCTTGGTATAAACTGGGGGCAAGCTATATAACTAGCCTAGGTGACTATGGAGAAGTTACCAACTACCAGAAACCCTAAGCAAATAGCTTCTTGATGGAGGCAAAATTGTGGAAACAGTGAAAAGATCACAGAAGACACAAGTGGTTCCACTTCTGTAATTTACTAGTTGTATGACCTTGGGCAAGTCACTTGTACTTTCTTATCCTTAATTTTATTAGTAAAATGGAAATACACCTCTGCCATACTCAAGTATTAATGCTTTGAGTACCAAATTAAATTACTGACATGAATGTTCTTTGGAAACTGTGTGCCAAGGAAATGTAAACTATTGCTTATTCTCAAAGAATTTTAGAACTTAAAGGGACCTCAAAGCTGATTCCATACAGACTTCTCCTTTTTCTTTCCTGAAGCCTTGAGATCGTGGTGTGTATATGTATGTGTGTGCTGGAGGTGAGAATTGCTGATGGTAAGTTTATGATTGAGAGATGGGGAGAGGCTATTTATAGTTAAGTCTCTGAGGGACTAGGTTTGAGGGTGAGGTCAAGACTACAAACCTCCAAGAAGGGGATGTGGCAGAAACTAGCTTGGGGAATGATGCCAAGGAACATTTTCAGATTTACTAGTAGATCCCAGTCTTCCGTTTGGTGCACTCTGATTTAGTCCAACCCCTTGATTTTATAAATGCATAAATTGGTGACCAGGGAGATTGTCAAAGGGTACAGCCCTCATGAGTGGAAAGACTCAATCCTAGTCTAGTCCAGGGCTTTCTTTTTCTTTCTTTCGTTTTTTTTTTTTTTTTGCTAGGCAATGGGGTTAAACGACTTGCCCAGAGTCATACGGCTAGTAAGTGTCAAGTGTCTGAGGCTGGATTTGAACTCAGATCCTCCTGACTCTAGGTCTGGTGCTCTACCTACTGTGCCATCTAGCTGCCCCAGAGCTTTCTCCTTGATACTACTTAAATGGCCTCTGATGATCTTGAACTCATCAATTTATTTATTGGTATCTATTAATTATTTTTGGCTATGGGGAGTGTTATAGCCAAGGATAATAAAAATAGAATTGGCCTTACAGTCAAGTGGATCTGGCTAATGTCCTGCATTGACATTCTAGCTCTGTGACCATGGACAAGTGAGTTTAAACTCTCAGTGGTCTAGGCCAATTTCCAAGTCTTTAAGTTATAGATGAATTATATAATTGTGCTGTGGTAGAGGGATTTTCCACAGTGGGAATACCCTGAATTGGCAAAATCACGCAGGTCTTTGACACCTCAAAACATACACACACACACACACACACACACACACACACACACACACACACACGCTACATCTCAAGAAGCAGGTTTTTTTTTTTAAGAAAACCAAGCAATATATCTTGACTTAAATAAAACCTTAGCTAGGTAGCCATAAAGCCCATTGGAGAGCCTTCGTTCTTTCTCCTGATTTCTAATATAGGGCCTTCCTTCACCTTCCAACAACACTGCCTCCTATAAATGGAAGGCCTAAAAAAGAAGGAAACTCTATCCACTCTCATATTCAACAAGAAACCAGATGCAGGCCAGAAGGGCTCTAGATAAGCCTTTATTTTTCTCTTCCTTGTTCTCACCCAGGAAGGCACTGCACTTTAAACATGTCTCCCAAAGCCCTCCACCACAGAAGGCAAGGGGAAAATGGAAGGAAGAGCAGAGCCTCACAGAAGCTCCCCTTCCTCACTTTGTGGACCCCTTAGACAAGTCCTGCTTGGCCCCCTACTGGCCTTGCCCAAGAATCACGATGGCCTACTCTTATCCTGATACATAATGGTGCCAGAATGTCTGCAAGGCGACAGAGGCACAAAATTTAGGTACTGAGAAAGAGATACTTCAATTTCAAGCTTAAAAATTACTTCAGGTCCCTGAGGACTCAGAAGCAATTTAGAGGCTGATACCCTGAACAAGAAAAAGGTTAGAAGATTAAGACCAACTGCTGTTTGGATAAATGACTGGTAATTGCCCATATCCGCAATTATGTCCTGTCATATAATTTCTCCGTTACCTTGGTCTCTCCTGCGTCCCATCAGGCCTTATGCGGTACGACTTCACCCTCACACCCTTCTTCTGACGTGCTTTCATAACATCATACTCTACCTCATCCATCAAGGCCCTGCAAGCTAAACAAGACAGAAAACACAGCCAGTTACGGAGGAGGGGAGTGAGAGCAGGAGAATGGATGGAAAAGGTAAGCACAGGTAAGTGGAAGAAATCAATTTGCAGGGCTTGACACCGGGGAAGGGAGTGCAGCATAGGGTGGGAAATGGACCTTCCAGAAATGGTGGGAAAGGAGAGCCATTTTCTACCCCATCCACCTATCCGTGAGCTGAGGTTTGCGGCACTTCTAGTAGTCCCAGACACCAAAAAGGATTTAATTTTTCTCTGCTGTTTGCCCACCCACAAAACACGATGATGACAAGTGTTCCCTCCCCCACCCCAAGTCTGTTTGGGGAGCCCTGTCAAGTATAGGACTGCAAGTCTAAGAAACTTCCATTTTATTAATGAGGGGGTGTGGAAGGAGTCAGCTCATCTCCCCTGAAGAGTTGCTTATTTTGAATTTCATTGGGACTAAGGAGATCCTTTTTGAAAAAAAAAAATTAATGACTAGGGGAAATATGACATGGGCCAAAAACATCATAAGAGATTTTTAAAACAAATCTTGACACTGACCTTATTTTCAGTTATTTGGTACCACCAAAAAGTACTGTAGTAATTTCTTTATTGCTTGCCACTTTAACTTTAACATTCTTGTTCCTTGATTGTAACCTTACTTAGATTAACCCCAATCCCTTTCCTCTAAAGGGTGGAGGCAGAAAGTACCATTAGGGCTTATTTAGGAGATTGTCCTACAGCCCCAGAGATTCAGCCAATGGGTCTCTGTCTTGTCCATGATTTCTAGCCCAATTTTAAAAAACATCCTACTTGTTTACTCCCTACTGTTCCCAAACAGTTAATTTCTTGAACTAGAACCCCTAGTGCTGTCACTAATGCGCTGAGATAAGCTTTGTAATAGAAGGAGTCCTCCCAGAGAGATTCTTCCATCAAGCCTTAGAACTGAACCAGGCCAGCAGTCAGCAAGTTCTTCCAGTATACCACTACCTACCACCAGCAGGGCTGAGCAAAACCCATGGGTAGTTAGGACTGGCAGATTAATACAGAAGTATGGGCAGAGATTATGGGGAGAGGGGGAATAGAATAGTGATAGGAAGTGTAGCATAGTGGATAGTGTGTAAGGCCTGGAGCCAAGACTACCTAAGTTAAAATCCTGCCTCAAACACTGACTAACTGTGTGACCCTGGGTAAGTCATTTAACCTCTGTTTGCAGTTTATCCACCTGCAAAAATGGTGATAATAATAATAGCTGCCTTACAGAGTTGTAGTGAAGATTAAGTGAGATAGTATATGTATAAAGCACTATATGTAAGCAATTATTATTAATTTGTGACTAGAAAACAGAGAGGAAAGAGTAGATCTAGAAAAGAAAGCCAAACTGAATAATTCATTATTTCCTGATTATGCAGTTTTTCCAGTTGTTGGATTTTTGCTCTTGCTCCAACTAACTGAGAAATTTTTGCTGAAATCCTGACCATCCCTCAAGGTCCATTACAAATGCAACCTCCCCTAAATATATTTAGTGATTCCCCACAATCTAATGTTATCCTCCTTCCTCTGATCTCCCATGGGGCATTTTGTATCTTCTTAAAATGACTTTTATTATAGTTATTTTATTGTCTTTGTCTTCCTTTGTCTTTTCAGAGGTTTCCCGTAGCACAATGAATAGAATGGTGGACTTGGAGTCAGGAAGACCTGAGTTCAAATTTAGTTTCAAATTTCACATTTACTAGCTGTGTGATCTGGACAAGTCACTTAACTTGTTTGCCTCAATTTCCTTAACTGTAAAATATAAAAAATACTAGCACCTGCCTTGAAGAGTTGTGAGGAGCAAATGAGATAATATTTGTAAAAAGCACTTAGCACAGTGCCTGCCATGGTAAATGCCATATAAATGTTTATCTCCCCTTCCTTTATTCCCCTTTGTCTTATTCCTCTTGCTAGATTACAAATTCTCTGAGAGTATTGTTCTATCTTTTTATCCCCTTAATGGTACCTTGAATGTTGTAAGTATTCAGTCTACCTGATGTGAATTTCATTGTACTGGACTGAATTAAAAGAGATATCTATAGAACCATTGATGGGGTCAAAGGCAGCCAACAACTGCTTCGGAGGAACCATGGGTTCCACAGGTGATTTTTTTTGTCTGAGCTAAACCAATATCTTAGGGAAGTTACAACAGGGGGAGGTCTCTAGAGGAGTTCCACAGGGCTCTGACCTTCATCCTATTCTGTTCCACAGTTTTAGTAATGACTTAAATAAAGGCATTGATGATATACTTATCCTATTTGGCCTTGGGAGAGCAAAACAAGGATCAACAGGTGAAAATTGCAAATAGATGAATTTTAGCTCTCTCTAGGGAAGGAAAGATTTCTGAACAATGAAAATTGTCCAGAAGTGGATGGAGCTGCCCCAGGAACTAGTGCTTAGCACGGTGCCTGGCACAGAAAGCCACTTAATGAATGCTTACTGATTGACTGACGGTGAGTTCAAGTAGAAGCTGAAGAATGACCCTTTGTCATCGACAGTATAGATGGATTTTCATTCATGCGCGGCGTAGACTGATTTGCACTAAGGTATGACTCTGTGATCACTGCAGCATTAAAGAAAAGAGTAAGGGAAAAGCAGAGTGGACAGCTTTCCCTTTGACCACCCTCTCTTATTTTAGGGACTCAAGCTGCAGGTGCAATCACAGGGCCTGACAACCGAATAACTTCTTCACTTACAGGAACATACTAGAATCAGATGGAACTGTTCCTGAAAGCTGATTATTAGAATTTCACCATGAGCATTTACACCTCAAAATTGGGCAACATGACAAATAAGGGGTTGCTTTATTGTTTTCTTGATTACCTAGACTTTAAGAAAGTGATGGGGAAACTGTTAATAATTCAGATTAATCTCCCTAGAGATCTAGTTGTTAAACATGAACCAGAATACCCTTGCTTGTGAAGGTCAACCAGGCCCTTTTTCAGGGGTCAGCCAGATTTTAAGTCTCTGAGATAACAGGAACAGAAAGGTGGATTGATCTTAGTTGGCCTAGGGTATAGCAGGTCTGCAAATCCCTGGCCTCCTGGAGGATGGAGGCGGGGAGGAAAGCATTATGAGTCAGAAGCGAGGATAATTTTACATTTCTGCCCCAGGTCACAGAACAAGTTAGCTCCAGAGTCACAACTGCGACCTGGCTCTCCTGATTCCTAGTCCAGCATTAATTTAAATGTTAATCTGAAATCTTCACTTAAATCACTGGAGTTTAGAGTTTATTAGACCAGCTGGCACGAGTGGAACAGTAGCGAGAGATTGACAGGTCACATTCGCTGCCAGAGGGCAGGCCCCTCCTCCCAGTTGGGCCCTTTCATAATTCATTTTTTTCCTCTCTTTTTTGGGGGGTGGGGTGAGGTGGGGGTGGGGTGGGAACAGGGTGAGATAAAAGTCGAATAAGAAGGCATGGACGATTGAGATGCCTGTCATGTCTGCTTCATGCATGCCCTCATCAACAGTGTCCTTTGCTAGAATGTAATCAACCAATCAACAAGTATTTATTGAGCCCTTCCTCTGTGAAAAGCACTATCCCAGACACTGGGCACCAAGAAGCAATAAGACCCGGCCTCCGCCCTTGAGGACTTTATGGTCTAGTTGAAGAGATAAGACAGATACACCCAGAAAAATAACCAACGACAAACTCTTGAAGATATTGGACTGGGTCTGCTTTGGATTACCATATGCTCTCAGTCATCTGTGATGACAGAATCACAGTGAAAAAAGTTAGAAGGGATCTCAGAAACCATCTAGGCCAAGAATTCCCTTTATAACATATCCAACAAGAGATATTCAGCTGCTGTTTGAAGACCTCCAGGCATGGGAAACTCACTATCTTTTGAAACAGAGCTTTTTGCTTTTGAACAATTCTAATTATTAGGAAGTTTTCTCTTACACTGAGCCCAGACCCATATTTTGTGACATCCATCCACTGACACTTAAGGGTCAAAAAAAAAAGTAAGCTTAATACCTCTATATTTCGTTGTTGTTCTGTTGTTTCAGTCATGTCTGACTCTTTGCAATGCCATTTGGGTTTTCTGGCAAAGATACTGGAGTGGTTTGCCATTTCCTTCTCCTTACAGATGAGGAAACTGAGGCAAACAGGGTTAAGTAACTTGTCCAGGATCGCACAATGAGTAAGTATCTGAGGCTAGATTTGAATTTGGGCCTTCCTGACTCCTGGCCCAATGCTTTATCTATTGTGCCACCTAGCTGCCCCTCTAGCTATATGACAGACCTTTAAATGTTCATGTACTGACACTATAACCTCTCTAAGCCATCTCTTCTCTGAGCTAAACATAGCCTTCTTTGTCCTTACCCTTGTGGCTACCGTCCATAATGGCAGACATTGCATTCCACCTTGTCAATGTCCTTTGTAAAATGAGGCATCTAGAACTGAACACAATACTCAGGTCCAACCAAGGGAGAGTTTTCGTCCTCCTTTGCCCACATTCCTCCCTTAGCTGCTCAATAATAATAGCATTTATATAGCACTTTAAGGTTTTCACAGCATTTTACAGAAGTTATCTCATTTAACTGTTACTACAGCTCTGTGAGGTAGGTGCATATTTTTATCCCCATTTTACAGATGAGGAAACCAAGGTTTAAGAGAGGTTGAGTCTTGCTTAGGTCCACACAGCTAGTTAGTGTCCAAGTCAGGATTTGAATTCAAGTCTTCCTGAGACTAGGTCCAACAGTATTCATTGCACAATTAAGCTGCCTTGATTCATACAATACCCAGTGATTTGAGTTTTCTCTTTATGTGCTATGAAGAATTTCCATGCCTGTTCATTGTTTAGAGAAGTAATTACTGAATAGTGTGTCATGCAAGGCCCAACTTTTTCATAGGCAGACTAGGTGACTTCAGGAGTGTTTTAGGGGAATCCCTAGATCATAGATTTAGAACTAAAAGGGATCTTGGAGGCCATTGAGACCATTCCTTTTATTTTACAAATAAGGAAAGTGAGGC